CGAATTCTATAAGGGGCGATAGGATGATGACAATCGCACCAGCATTCGTTGGGCTTACTTACCAGGCCACCTCCTCTTCCTTGATGTGGTTCTAAAAAAGAATGTCATACCTCTAAGCCACAAGGAAGAGCGACGAAGGGACTTCCACCACGCCTTGCATCGATTTGATTTCGGGTTTTGGGTCGACATCCCTTCATTGATCTTCAATTAAATGGCCCATATACTGAACGAAGTAAAATTATGCAACACCCAAGGCAGTTCTACATGGGCCCTCCCCTTCACCAACCTCATTACAACACTCATCAAAGGCCAAGGGACTTACCCACTCGACCCCAATGAGGTTCAGCTTCAGCTGCCAACGCTCTATGCTAAAACCTAATGGCACCAAACTACTGCTCGCCTACTGCCTCCACTAGTCCTCCCCGATGCCCCAACCAATCCTAATGATGTTCCGGCAGAGCCCACTGCCACGCCAGCGCCAGCGCCACCACCATTCTGTATGACACACACTTAATATTAGGTTATTTTGGATAATCAAGCCGCTATTCCGCAATCAGTGGTTGATCTCTAGACAGACTATCAAGCATATAGGGATTACTTGCAGACGACATTTGACCAAGTTAATGCCCGTCAGGTCAAGTATTAGCAATCAATTACATCTTTGCAAACTGACTTCTACGCATACCGAGAGTCTAGCCAACAACGTTTTGATCGGCTTGGTGCTAGGGTTCATGATGAGGCATTTGAGACTTGGACATTGATGCATGCCTTATTTCAGTAGTACTTCCCACCACTACAGGATCCAAATCAGTGATATATTTATTTTATTTTTCTTTTCCTTTTCTACTATACAGTCCAAGCACAAAAAAAAATTAAAATCAAATAAAATAAAAAACAAAAATAGTGAGTGTGTGTGTGTTTGGTTCGTCCCTCCCTCACTGGATGTACACCTACGCCTCATGGTAATATTCTCTCTCTCTTATTTTCCTATCTACTTTATAATTGCTTACATTGAGGACAATGTTGTATTCCAGTTGGGGGGTAAGGGTATTTATAAAAACAATTCATGTTTGTACTTGTTGCACTTGATTGCACCACTTCACTTGATGTTCACTTTTTGCCAGTATGGTGGTGATATAAGCATATGCTAATTGGGGAACATAGTGGACTTGTATGAAAAGGGTTTATTGGGTAAATACTTGCAAGTGATGTTTGCACTATGAGAGTTGTTTGTGTTTGTGGTATTAGTACACTTGTCATGAGTATGTCTTGATTCACATGAACACATTTTCATAGAGGTGACCTCTCTATTCTAATCCTTGGTGTACATCATTGATAATTGTTAGTTTTGCAGAAAAGAATAAATGAGTAGCCTTGATTCTCATAAAAAAAAAATTAAATAAACAAAAAATTGACTTGTTTGGGTTCGTAGCCTTTTTAACTCAAGTTATTAAGTCCATAAGGGTGTCTCTACACCTAGTGCCCTAAAATCGTCTAGTTTGGAAGTCATTGGCCCAATACTTGCTACATAGGTTGATTAGAAATCTTAATGGATTAGGACATTACACAGTCTAAAAATAAATAAAATAAAATAAAAAAGAGAAAAAATTGAGAATCCTGGTTTCAAAAGTTTAGTTTTTCTGTATATGTTGGGTGTTATTATGAGTTACACTGGGCTATTATAGTGGACAATTAACTAGTTAAGTGGACTGCACTTTACACCAAGGGCACTGATAATGTGTTTACTAGTATTCGCAAGTACAGGGGGCTTAACTTTTGTAATAACTGAATTGTGGTTCTTGCTCTATAGATTCCTTCATGCTAGTCCATTGTGCCTTCAATGACTCATTATGTCTTTAATTAGGGTTGCTCGAGCGGCCCACCTAAGGTTGCATGCGTAGAAATTTCAGTCTGTTCTGCAGGGAATAAAAGGAAGAAAAGTGGTTGCTCTTAGGGTTCAAAGATTTTTCAGAGAAACGGAGGGGCTAGGGTTTGGAAAGGGATTTCTCAAGCTTCAAGGGCAATTTTCATGGAGGCTTCTTCTTCTTTTACTTCTTCCCACGCCTCCATGATTGGCTAGGCCCTTCTTTCTAGGGTTTTGATGATACCCTAGCCAAGTAAATAGGTTTTCTTTTTGGTACTCTTTTATGTAATGGTTTGAACGGTTGTATGGTTCTCAAGAAGTTTTCAAAAATAATTTTCCATTATTTCTTCAAGTATTCTTCTTTCTGTGATTTGTTGAATGCTTCTCATGCAATAGTTTTCTGTGCTTTCATGTTCAAGGTATGAGACAAGCCATACTACGAGGGACGAGTCGTGTTGCACCCAAGTTTAGAGCAAACGACTCGTACTACTTGAGATGGTTCATGCCTATACATTAAATGTGTTAATTTTCTTGATCAATACTTTGAACTTGTAGTTGCGAAGTATTATTTAGCTCGAACCATCGCATAATTGATTTTCAAATTGAACCCTTATTTATGTAACTAGTGCTGAATTCATTACCCTAGATTTTACCCAAAATCAGTAACTTCATCTTTAATTATAATTGCTAGTTTATTCGCTTTATTTAATTTAATTATAATTAGGTTATGAACAACCATCTCTTTCATCAAAATTAACTTAGGAATTTAACAATTAAATTAGCTTAATTTCCCGTTTGTCCCTATGGATTGATACCTGGACTTACCACTATTCTAAAGAAGTTGGTATAGTTTAGTGTTTTTTTTGGTGTGTGAAAGGACCCATCACTCATTCCACCCTGTTCATGTAATACTAATTCAATCTCGGATTTCTCAAAGTCTTGCAAAATTTCATTTTTTTCAGTGAGTAGACAAGCCAGGTTCCCCGTCGATTTTCTACTCAACGCATCAGCAACTGTATTGGTTTTCCCCTGGTGATACTGAATATGGAGATCATAATCTTTTATCAATTCGAGCCATCTTCTCTGTCGCATGTTCAACTCTTTTTGGGTAAAGAAATACTTTAGACTTTTGTGACTTTTGTGTTCCGTATAAACCTCGCATTTTGCCCCATACAAGTAATGTTGCCTAATTTTTAAAGCAAACACAACTATGGCCTATTCCAGTTCATGAGTCGGGTCGTTCTTTTCATGCGGTCTCAACTGTCTAGAGGCATAGGCAATTACTCTCCCATTCTGCATTAACACACAACCCAGACCCTTGTAAGAAGCATCACTAAATATCACAAAATTTTCCATACCTGACGGCAATGTCAACACTAGTGCAGTAGTTAATCTCGTTTTTAGTTTTTAGAAGGCTGATTCCCTTTCATCATTCTATTCAAATGATCGTCCCTTGCTAGTAAGTTGCGTAAGTGGCACAACTATTTTCAAAAAGTCCTTCACAAACCATCTGTAGTACCCAGCTAAGCCCATGAAACTACGGGCTTCCGTTACATTCGTCGGTGTAGGCCAGTTCACAATTGCATCTATCTTCTATGGGTCTACAGAAATCCAATCTCTGTTGATGACATGCCCTAAGAAAACAACCTCATCCAACCAAAATTCACATTTCTTTAGTTTAGCAATTAATTTCTTTTCTCTAAGTGTTTGCAAGACGGTTCTCAGATGTTGTTCATGTTCAAGTCTACTATTTGAATATATCAAAACATCATCAGTAAAAACCACAACAAATTCATCAAGGTAGGATTTAAAAATTCAGGTCATAAGATCTATAAATATTGTAGGTGCATTAGTCACTCCAAATGGCATAACGAGAAATTGATAATGTCCATACCTTGTCCCGAATGCGGTTTTCTCAACATCTTCTGCTTTCACCTTCAATTTGTGGTATCCGGACCTCAAGTCGATTTTTGAAAATACTTGTGATCCCTACAACTAATCAAACAAATCGTCAATACAGGGCAAAGGGTATTTATTTTTGATCGTTACCTTGTTCAATTCCCTATAGTCAATGCACAAATGCAAAGTCACATCTTTCTTCTTTACAAATAAAACTGGTGCACCCCATAGTGAAGTGCTCGATCGAATAAACCCCTTATCAAGCAAGTCTTGCAATTGTTCCTTCAATTCTTTCATTTCCATAGTAGACTTTCAGTAGGGAGTTTTTAAAATGTGTTGGGTGCTTGGTACGACATCAATAGTAAACTCTATTTCTCTGTCAACCAATTCCCCCGGCAGTTCATCAAGAAACATATCTGGAAAATCTCTAACAACAGGAATACTTTCTAATTCAACATTTATAGATTGCTCAGTTAATATGCTACACAAGTAATCCTGACACCCCTTCCTAAGCAGTTTACATGCTTTCATTGCTGAAATTAGATAAGGTGCCAACAAACTCAAATTCATCATGTCCTGGTGGTCTAAATATAACTGGTTTTGTTACACAATCGATGGTGGCACGGTATTTAGACAACCAATCCATACCCAAAATCGCATCAAAATGTCTAATGTCCAAGGATAACAAATCCACATATAAGGTAGCATTGTTAATACGCATATCACAAATACGATACACAGATGTACACAACACAGATTCCCCAGATGGAGTAGATACACATAACAAATATGACAATGATTCTAGGGGTCTATTCAATCTAGATGCAAATGTAGTAGACACAAAAGAATGTGTTGATCAGGAATCAATTAACACAAAAGCATCTTGATTGCATATATAAATAGTACCTAAGACAACCACTTCAGTATTCCGTGTCTCACCTGGGACGAGTGCAAAGACTCTCCCTTGTCTCATTGTGTCTCTGGTAGTAGCAGGCCTCGCAGTATTCCTGGGTTTTGGGATGGATCCAGTCGAACTAGAAGCCAGTTTCCCACTTCTTTGTTGCTCAGTTTGGGTACAATCCCTTGCCATATGTCCCATTTGACGACATTTGAAGCAAGCCCCGAAAATACAGTAACAAACGCCACAATGTTTCTTACTAGATTGATTACATGTTGGTGTTGTACCTCTAGTAAAACCCGAAGTGCTTGAGGATCCAGTATTCCAATTTTTCAATGATCATTTCTTTAAGAAAAAACGTTGTCTCTTACTTTTCCAGTCAGTTGGTGGTTTACTCTGATTGGCAATATTAGTTTCTAACATTAAATTGTGGTCTAACACATCAACATAAGTAAGCAGTTTCAGAACATTCACTCTCTCTTGAATATCGTTGCGGAGACTGCCCTCAAATTTTCTTACCTTCTTATAGTCAATGTCGACCATATGCAATGCGAATCTGGCCAATTCTGTAAACTTTGCCTCGTATTCCACCACAATCATACTGCCTTGTTTAAGCCCCTCAAATTTAGATGCTTTTCTATCACGAGCGCATTGCAGAAAGTATTTATCATAAAAGATTTCAAGGAACCGTGTCCAGTCTGTGCCCTTGTTGTCATCGCAAATCAACATCCACCGCCTTCTTGCTTCATCTTCTAGTGTAAAGGTAGCCAACTGTACTTTCTGTGGAAACACTTCAAATAGTTTTTCAATACCAAGGACCCAGGCTTCTGCCTTCAACGGGTCCACTCCCTCATGAAATAGTGATGGCTTCATTTTCTTAAGCACTTTGGTGAGAGCTATTGTTCAGTCATCATTTTGCAAATCTTGCATAGGTTGTATCAGAGGTAGGGGGTGGCAGTTGTTGCCACTGTTGTTGTTGTTGTCTCAATGTTTCTGCCATGTCCTACATTATCCTCTTCATCCTGTCTAATCTAGCAGTGGAGGATTCTTCTAGTTCATCGGCTCTTGTTCTCACCATTATTTGATGAGACTTGCATTATTATTCATACATAAAGTACACACAATATTCATGTACAAAAAGAGCACGCACATACGAATAGGCAACAGTTCATATATCATGTGATCGCATATTTCATATCACTTTAGTATATTCTTAATGCATTCAAGCATATAGTTATCATATGAATGCAACTTAGGTCTTTTCTAGATACTTTATTACTCATTTGGACAAGTGTGTGAGTTATTACTCGTGCTCTGATACCACTCTGTCGTAATCCAAACCCGCCCTTATGGATTAGGATCATAATCGGCCAGTAATCATGAAATTACCTACAGCCTCAGAGAGAATTTAAATCGTATTTAAGAATAGGGGGCCAAAAGTGAAAGTAAAATGCAAAGATTGTCCAATGAGTTATGCGTACATGGCGTAACAAAAAATTTTCTCATGTATATAATAACTCACACATTATATACGTAAGCAAGTTATACATGTGCAGGATCATTCAAAAATAGTCTTAACAAAAACCAAGGTTATATACAAACTTGGTCAAGCATGACCACAAAAAAAACAAAAGAAAAACAAATCAAAAGTAAAGCCTCTTGCATGAGGCAACCTTGGTTGACTCCACAACTTGGTACTCTCATAAGCTCATCGGGGCTAAGGTTAGACATCTCGCTGCTCACCTACATACATATAGGTAAAAAGTAAGTTAACACCCAATGAATAATACCAGAGTAAAGAGGTTAATGAACGAGATTCGTTCATAAATGAATCATACTTATAATTTAAACATTTGACATACTCTTCTCATTCATATCATATTTATAAAACATAACAAAGAAAAACGACCTTGGGTCCAATACGTTATGTCCATATACAAAACGACCTCGGGTTCAACTCATATACAAAATGATCTCGGGTCCATTATATGTAGAACGACCTTGGGTCCATCTATTCAAAACGACTCAAGGTCCTTCAATACAAAAATTCATATTCGTAATCATACACAAATGGCCTTTGGCCCAATCAATACAGTGGTCATTTTGATAGTCATGATCATGTTCACATTCATATTTCTATTCCAAACGACCTTTGGTCCAATCAATTCATTACTCAAAATGACCTTTGACCTTTGAACCATTTAACAAACACACAAAACGACCTTTGATCTAATTCATATATGAGATGACCTTAAATAAACGGCCTTAGGCCCATTCCGTGTCCTTATCAAAGATACCAAACGGCTTGGGCCCATTTCGTATTCTCATCAAACATACCAAATGGCCTTAGGCCCATTTTACATTCGTACTAATCAATCAATTTACGGATTCTATTATGAATCAAACATATAGAATACTCATTAGTACAAATTCATGAGTTCAGAAAGCTTACCACATAGGTAGCATTTAGAAAGTAACATACATGAAAATATCTTTACTAAGATATTACTCACAGTGTTCAAATGCTTGATTCGTCCTTGCAATTGACCCTACATAATTCACAACACATTGGGTCATAATACAATTTGATCCATTCTTTAGTTTGCTTAATTTTCTTAGGCGTCTTTCATGTTCTATAATTCATTTGGAATGCTCAATGTATCTAAGAATGTTCAGACATGAAGGAGAACGGAAATGGGAACATAAAACAACTTTTCAAAATTTCCTAAAATAAGGCACTTCGCTCGAGCGCAACATTTGTCGCTCTAGCAGACCCCTTGGTTTGCAAAAGCACTGGTTGTTTGAATTTTAGGCTCGAGCGCAAGTTTTGGTCACTCGTGCCATGAGCAGTTCAAAACAGGGTTCGCTCGAGCACAAGTTTTGCCACTCAAGCCACCCTGCAATTGTCTAAAAAAATACTGTGAGCTCGAAATTTACGCCGTCGCTCGAGCAAAACTTCCGTCGCTCTAGCGAACTGTACGAAATTCTAGAATTCCCAAATTCTGTTTGAGCTTCAAGCTTGCAATTCAAAGGCTTAACCCTTGCATGATTGGTATGAAATCAAGGAAAAACATTGTATAACATGAAAACATTTCTATTTTGAAACTAATCACTCAAAACTCCATGAATTCAACAAGATTTAAACCTTAAACTTTATATTTGTAAAAGCTATGTTTTACATCTTGGATTCACAAGCTTCAAGGCTTAAAATTGGGCTTCAAAACATGACAATTCATGCATGCATGTATCGAACAACTCTCAATTCAACATGATCATTATGGTTTATACTCAAATATGAGAAATCTCAATAAACTCATTCATGCATGCCCAAGTTGATTTCAAATTCGACACATTTAGCTCAATTCTTGTATTTATCAACATATACTTCTTAAATTCACGTAGTTATGAACTTAAGCTCATGAATTTGAGTTCAATTACTCACCTAGAGTCTTCAATTACTCACCTAGAGTCTTCAATGAGGCTAAGTTTGACAAATTCTTGTGCCTAGCTTCCAAAATCTTCAATCACCAAGTCAAGTCTTCAAGAATTTTGTCATTTTCTCTCTAAATTGATGTTTGTCTCTCTATACTTCTCTTGGCAGATTTTTGAGTGCAAAATGAGCTTAAGCACTTGAATTAACATACATATATATGCTTAACTAATCTTATTGGCTAATCAAGGCTTAGGCTTAATCAAATAGACTTAGTTAAATCAAATTAATCTAATTAATTCGATCCGAATCAATTTTTAATTGAATTTCACCATAGGCTCTAAGAATTATGCAAATCATAATGATGTTGCAATTTCGATTTCTTTTGCCTCTACAGCCTTCAATTTCAAGTTATGACAGAATACAGAACAAATTTTCCTACGGTGGACAGATATGAATTCAACAACACATAATCACATAAGCAGCACCCAAAATCATATTAAGCACATAATCACAAGCATAATTAAGCATAACTAGTATAACACAGAACAAGGTTATCACATTCTTCCCCCTTTTAGGTAGTTTGGTCCTCCAGACTCGTATTAGCTTCCATTAGAAACAAATGTGGGTAGTGTTGTCACATCTCCCCTTCTTTCTCCCATGTGGCATCCCTTCCGTAATGTTTTTTCCATTCCACTTTCACCATTGGAATGGATTTGTTTCTCAGTTGCTTTACTTGTCGGTCAATGATTCGTTCTAGCCATTCTTTGTATTCCATATTTTCATCAAGAGCTATCTGATGGTTGTCTATCACATGAAATGAATCCCAGAGGTAGCCTCTCAACATTGACACGTGGAACACGTTATGCATTTGTTCCATACCCGACGGCAAAGCAATTCTATAAGCAAAGAACATCTTTTATTGCTTTCCAGGCTATGTTGTTTAGATAGATGTTAGATCTCTAATAAAGAACATCTTTGATAAATAAATGAATAAAATAATGAATAAATGTATGTATGTCTAGGAAATTAGGACTTTGTTACTTGAATGCCTAGACGTGCTAGGGTTTTGTTGCTTGAACACCTAGTATGACTAGGGATTACATCTAATTGCCTAGACGTGCTAGGGCTTTGTTGCTCGAATGCCTAGTATGACTAGGGCTTAAATCTAATTGCCTAGGCGTGCTAGGACTTTAGTGTTCAAATGCCTAGCTTTACTAGGACTTACTCAACTTTAATTTTCCTGGCGAGGTTGGCCTTTTGGAGAACTGTGCCGAGCACAATCAAATGGAGAACTATGCCGAGCATAGGCAAATAGAGAATTGTGGAGGCATGGTCTCATCGCTGTTGTTGAACTAAGCGTGGACAAGCCACTAACTTGCCTTGCATGGTTGGATGCCAAATAATATGACCCTTAAAGAGCAAATATGTCATGACTCGAACCCGCCCCTATGGGTTAAGGACATAACCGGCCAGTAATCACGAGATTACCTACGACCTCAAACCAAAGAAGACATAACTCATCAGAGTAAAGGGGCCAAACGGAAGCAAACTTAAAACTGTGTCCTTAGAGTTGTGCTTACATGGCACGTCATAACAAACCATACATATACATATTAATAACTTACATCAGAAAATACAGTAACATAAAGTTTTGTACCGATAGGATCATTCAAGTCTAGGTCAGCCAATCAAAACTATATACAAACATATCCAAAGTCCTCACCAACATGACAAAATAAAACAGGATAGCAAAAGGGCGAAGACGAGTCTCGTGCGTGAGACGTAAGGGCTGACTCTTCAAAACCTTGGTTGTTCCACACAAACTTCACTGAGGCTGGGTTTGGACCTCTCTTGGCTCACCTACAAACGCATGAATGAGTGTGAGTGAAAGCCTAGTGAATAATATCAAATAAAGAAATTACACGAATGGTACTTAGAACAATGTACACCAAACGGCCTTGGGCCCAATTCATGTTTCTATCGGGTGTGTATATATATATATATAGATCAAGTGACTGCGATTCCAAACACATTGGACGGCCTCAGGCCCAATCCATTCATGTCAAACTGGCATTTGGCCCATTTATCTTTCATTCATGTCAAACGGCCTTCGGCCCATCCGTTCTTTCATTTATGTCAGACTGGCCTTTGGCCCAACCATTCTTTCACTCATGTCAAACTGGCTCTTGGCCCATTCATTCTATCTTTGATGTCAAACTGGACTTTAGCCCATTCATTGATGTCATACGGCCTCTGGCCCATTCATTTATGTCAGACTATCATTCGAGTCAGACTATCACCCATGTCATACGGCCTCCGGCCCATTCATTCATAGCAAACGGCCTTAGGCCCATTCACTCATAGTAAACGGCCTTAGGCCCAACCATATGGCATAGCAAATATTTGTCCACAATTCAAATCATCAGACTCATAAAGCTTA